AAAAAAAAAAAAAAAAAAAAAAAAAAAAAAAAAAAAAAAAAAAAAAGGCACCACGAACGTGGATTTTCCCAACCTTTGGCATGAGGAGGTCAGGATGGGACCACAAACAGGGATTTTTCCAGCCTCTGGCATGAGCGGGATGGGGCCAAGGATGTGGATTTTCCCAACCCCGGGCACGAGTGGGATGGGGGCCACAGACACTGATTTTTCCAGCTTCTGGCACGAGCAGGATGGGGCCACAAACACGGCTTTTTCCAGCCCCCGGCAGGAGCGGGAAGGGACTGCGAATGTGGATTTTCCCACCCCCTGGCACGAGCGGGACAGGGGGTCACGGACGCCCATTTTTCCAGCCGTGGGACGGGGCCAGAAGCACTTCCCGGGGTGGCCGTCGGGGTGGGGTGTGGTGGGACCTCCCCCGGGCGCCGGGATGACCCATCCCACGAGCCAAACCCACCTGAGGGCCGGAGCTGGGCCGGGGGGCGGGGGGTGGGGTTCACTTCTCCGTCATCATCCTCACGAACTCCTCGTAGTTGACCTGGCCGTCGTTGTTGCAGTCGGCCTCCCTGATCATCTCGTCCACCTCCTCGTCCGTCAGCTTCTCGCCCAGGTTGGTCATGACGTGGCGCAGCTCGGCCGCGCTGATGTAGCCGTTGCCGTCCTTGTCGAACACCCGGAAGGCCTCCCGGATCTCCTCCTCGCCGTCCGCGTCCCGCGTCCTCCGGGCCATGAGCGACAGGAACTCCGCGAAGTCCACGGTGCCGCTGCCGTCGGCGTCCACCTCGCCCACCATGTCTCGCAGCTCGGCCTCGCTGGGGTTCTGGCCCAGCGAGCGCATGACCGTGCCCAGTTCCCGCGTGCTGATGGAGCCGTCGCCGTCGCGGTCGAAGAGGGAAAAGGCCTCCCTGAACTCCGCGATCTTCTCCTCCGACAGCCGCTCGGCCATGGCCTCCGCCCCGGCACGGCCTCAGCCCCGGCTGCCTCTGCAGGCACGGCGGGAGCAGCAGCAGGAGCTGGGAGAGGCTGAGCCTCAGGGAGGGATGAGCTGGATCCTGGCACGGCAGACGGGAGTGTTTGGGTGGTGGTGGTGGAGGAGGAGGAGGAGGCAGGAGCTGGGAGAGGCTGAGCCTCAGGAGTGGATGGGCTGGATCCTGGCACGGCAGACAGGGGAGTTTTGGGGTGGTGGAGAAGGAGGAGGAGGTAGGAGATGGGAGAGGCAGAGCCTCAGGGATGGATGAGCGGGATCCTGGCACAGCAAACAGGAGTTTTGGGGGTGCTGGAGAAGAAGGATCACCTAACCCCCTGGGGACACCCCCTCTGCTCTGCTGGTGGCATTTTCTACTTCTCCCAGCTTGGGAAGGGCCAAGTCCCCTCAGGATCAAAACTCAGCTTCCCGGGTCAAAGCTCAGCCGCAAAACCTGTCCCTAAAAACGGAGCTGCTCCTTTTTTTGGGGGCTGGTCCTGGGGGAGCCAGCCCAGAGGAGAAGGATCAGCCAACCCCCCGGGGACACCCAACCCCCCGGGGACACCCAACCCCCCCCGGGGACACGCCCATTGCTCCGCTGGTGGCACTGGGTGGAGCTGGATCCCAACAACCCCCCTCATTAAGGGATTTGGCGGCGGTTTCGGGGAGGGGCTGAGCAGGAATGGGTGGGGGTGAAACACAGTTGGTTTTGCCAATGTTCAGGCAGTTCTGGAGAGGTTTGGAGTTGAGGGAAGGTCTGCAGGCCGTCAGAGGGTCTCCCCGGCCCTGGGTGGTGGTGGCAGCGGGGCAGAGGTGCCGAGGGAGGGATCCCTGGGCGGGTGCAGGCAGAGCCCGACGGAGCTGACGGGGATCTGAGTCACGGTGGGGCCTCCCTGGAGCTCCCCCAGGACGCAGTGGCAGCCCCGGGCAGGGCCGTGGGGCTGTGCCAGGGAGGGTGGCCAGGCCTGTCCAGGTTACTCAGGGGGCACCGCAGGGGGAATTCACCACCTTGGAACGTCCTGGCGGCAGCTTTGCTCGGCTCTGACGGCAGGGGTTGGGGACAAAGGATGAGCTGTTTCTCTGGCCATCCACCCATCCATCTGCCCATTCATCCATACATCCGGTTGCCCAATCATCCATCCCTCCATCCATCCCTCCATCGCTCCATGCATTTACATTACCACCCATCTACCTGTCCCTCCCTCCCTCCCTCTTTTCTATGTGCTCATTACAGTCAAGTATCTCCATCCATCCATCCATCCATCCATTCCACCAACAAAACCATCCATCCACGTGTGTATCCATCCCCCCAAACATGTCATCCATCCATCCATCCATCATCTCTCCATCCATCCATGACTTTACCTGTTTCCCCCTCCCTCCTTTCCCCTTCCCTGTGTGCCCATGACAGTCCAGTATCCCCCCCATCCCCCCACCCCTTCATCCATACATCCGGTTGCCCGATCATCCCTCCCTCCCTCCTTCCTCTGTTCCCACAACACCCCTGAGCTTCCCCAGCCCGTCCCTGGAGCTGCAGGACCAGCTGACCAAGTTCCACAGCACGGGATAATTTGCCTTTCCCAGCCACAGGGAAACGGCATCAGTTCATCCCAGTTTAACCCAGTGAGGAGGAGCTGGAGCTCTGGGGTTTGCAGGGAAGACCAAGCCATGGGACAAGTGAGGAGCACATGGGACCTCCAGGCGGGATAAACCTGGAAAGGGGTCACCATCCGGAGGATGAAACTGTGGGCGCATAGAAGGCTGCAATTCCTGGCAGGAATGGTGTGATCCGTGCTGGGAACCCGTCTGGTGAGATGCAGGGGAGGCCCTGGAGCTCCTCCTGTGCCAGGAGCTACTCCCTGCCTGTCTGTGCCGAGCCACGTTCAACCATTTCCCATCCCACCTGCCGGGAAAGGGCCCTGGGAGCCAAGCCAGGAGCCAAGGCCAGGGGAGCTGATCCCAGTCCAGCCGGGAGAAGCCAACACGGACAGAGCTCCGGGGGGTTCAAGGCCTGGGGGGTTTCAGGTGTTGGGTCAAGCCCTGGGGGGGTTGTGGGAGCCCCAGAATGAGGGTGGGGGGTCCCTCGATGCTGAGCGGAACTGGAAGTGCTGCTGCTTCCTTCCCATGATCCCCCCACAAGCAGGTCCCATTGCCTCTCAACCCATCCCACCCCACCCCATCCCCATGCCCAGCACCCATCACCTCTCCTTCGCTTCCCAGTGACCAGCACCCATTGCCTCATCCCAATCCATTCCATTCCATCCCCATGACCAGCACTCACTGCCAGCACTCATCACATCCCATCCCATTCCATCCCGTTGGCATGACCAGCACCCATTGTCAGCACCCCTCACCTCACCCCACTCCATCTGATTCCATCCCATTACATCTCTATGACCAGCACTCATTCCCAGCACCCATCCCATTCCCACAACCAGCATCCATCCTGTCCCATTTCCATGACCAGCACCCAACCCACCCTATCCTGTTCCCAGCACCCATCTCATCCCATTCCCATTCCCAGGACTCATCCTATCCCCATCAACAACACCCATCCCATTCCATGAGCAGCACCCATCCCATCCCATCCCATCCCATCCCATCCCATCCCATCCCATCCCATCCCATCTTCCTGCCAATCCCTGGGAGAAGGTCCAGGCCAGCCCTTGGCTCCGTCGTTAGCACGGCAGGATAATTATCCCAAAGAACTTCCCGCTGGCCCACAGATCCCGTGATTTATCCACGGCCTTCGCGGGGTGGGACAGTGGAGCAGAGCCCACCCTGGTGGAAGGCAGGAGCAGGAGCCGCCGGGCTCTTGGCAGCTGCTTTTCCTGGGATTTCTCCAGCGGGAGCCGCAGGGAAGGAGGGAGGCTGGAAGCGGCCGCTGGTAAAACCTCACACGGAGTTTTCCGGCCGACACTGCTCCTCTCAACCCCCGCCGGCCGCATTTGAGGGGTCCGAGCCAGGTAATGGTGGAAAAATTCCCCAATCCGGAGGGTTAAAAGCTCCCAGCTGGAGAATCCAGATGTGCGGAGACGTCTGGGTCTGTGTCTGCAGACGGAGCAGCGGGGGGGGGGGAGGCTGATGGGTTCATGGAAAAAGGGAAAGCTGGAGCAGGCGCGGCTCCGCCAGGGAAACCTTTGGGGATGGGGAGGAACCTCCACAAAACCCGGCATGAACTCCACGGAGTTCTGTAACGTGGAAATTCTCCGGGATCTGGGAGAGGCTGAGCCGGAGTGTGATCCCACAGTACCTGCAGGGGCTGCCGGCTGTGACGTCTGGGATTCGGGGATTCCTTTAGCCACTGTTTTCAAGGAGGTTCCCAAAGCCCAGGGAAAGCTGTGGAGCCTCCAGGGCAGATCCTACAGCCGGGCTTTTCCAGGCCCAGCCAAGGAACCCCGATCCCACGTTAGAGCCTGGCAGAGATGTCCCCGTGGAGCAGGAGTGCAGGATTGGGGTGCTGGGGAGTTGTTGGGAGGGAGGGATGAGCCCCGCCGTGCCCCTGATCCCGACTCCAGGAGGGTCTCACCTGTTATCCACGGAGGGGTTGGCTCCGCTCCACACGTGGCTCCGGCGCTGGGTGGATCCAGAGGGAGCTGCTCCAGCTGGAGGTGCCCACACATCCCTTTCCATGGGGACAGGGATGCTGCCATGGCCAGGAGGGAAGGGGCTCCTCGGGACTGGGGCTGGCACAGCTTCCCCCTCTCCCTCTAGCCTCGGGAATTCCGCCCCGCTGCATCCCATGGTGTTCCCGTACATGGGATGAAGGTTCAGGGCACGTACAGGGACAGGCCCAGCCAGGCCCCCCTGGAATTCAGGCTGGGAGGAAACCAGGAAAGCCCGGCTTGTTTAGTCTGGCTCAGCCGGCGGTGTCTGCACATTCCTCAGGGATGGGAACCACCAGAGTCAGGCTGGGGGGGCCTCCCTTTTCCAAAGGGAAATGAAGTTCTTGGCTGATTTGCCAGTGGCTGCAGCATGAGAGGAAGGCTGAGGCTGGCCTGACTCCGGGAGGCCCGGCAGGATTTAGGATTTCCTTTCCCCTGGGCCCCAGCATCACTAATGCCTTTTACTTTTGCAGGATCAGCTGCTCTTCCAGCTTCTCCCTGCTTGGGAAGGGCAGAGTCCCCTGTGGATCAAACCAGGCCACAGCTCAGCTGTAAAACCCATCCCTGAAATCCAGGCTGCTCCTTCCCTGCGGATCAGGGCTCGGTGGGATCCCAGGAGTTCCAGCTGTGCCCAGACATTCCCTACATGGCCAGCCCACAGGTTTTTGGGAAGCGCTGTGGAGACTGGAGGGATCTGTCCCGGTGCTACAACCGTATGTTCCCTGGAAGTTGTCCTGAGTTGGCCCCGTGGGACCCCCTTCCCAAGGTTCCTGGAGGACAGGATTCCTAAAGATTTGCTAAATGGGGACTTTTCCCTAGGCAGAGGGTTTTGGGAAGGTGAAGGACGTGAGGAAAATCCCACTGCTCCCTCTTCCTCCCTGGGCACTCTGGAAGCACAGGAGGAGGACACGGGAGAGAGAGGCATCAGGAATTTAATGTACTTGGCACTGGAACTGTACAAGACATTTACAGAGAACCAACCCCCGTGTCCACATGCACCCTCCTCCTCATCCAGTGGCGCAGGCACGGCCATTCCAGGCGCTGGGATGGCGGGATCAGATCCCCCGCCTGGCCCTCTGCGTCGCTGCCACTCACGAGTATTTACAACACTCCCCCTCCTCTCCCTACACCTCAAACTCTTCCTCTTCCCTACCTTTCTACCACATGCAGGAATCCCTTGGTTGCCTCCAGTCCTGCCTTCCCACGGGAAGGGGTTTCATTCCCAAAAGGCAACAGTAACCCAAAAATCTACCTTTGCTCGCTGCTATTCCCCCTCTACGGCTGCTGCTCTCCCCTCCCAAAAACCCTTTACAACATCCATACAACCTTCCTACACCCCTTCTCCCTCAGCAGGGTCTCCTCCCAGCCTCTGGACTGCTCAGCCATGGAATGACTGAGGAATGCTGTGGATACACACACATCCCGACCCTCCTGGAGCACGAAGGATCGAGCGACTGGGAAGGAAAAAATGCCAAGTCTGGACAACAAAATAAAAAAGTAAAAAAAGGGGCGGGGAACCCCAAAGAAAGTAAAACAACCAAAAATCCCAAATCCCAAACTTGACAAAAAAAAAAAAAAAAGCTACTAAAAAAAAATTAAATAATTGGCAGGTTCCGAGAGCGAAAATGAGGAATGTACAAAGGACACGGGAAGATGAAAAGATTCCAGTAGGTAAATGGAGAACCTGTTGAACCTGGGCACTGGGTTTGGTTTTTCCTTTCTTTTTTTCCCATGGAAATTTGCAGGGGTTGCCACAACCACCCCCCAAAGTGACTCCAGGGCCGGAGCCCACTTGGAAAGGCTCTCCCCACAAACTTCCACTCAGCTCTTTTCCAGCCCGTGGAAATCCTTCAGGAGCCCAACCTTGGAAGCTGCCTGAGAAGGTTTCCCAAAGCCCTCCTGTGTAAAAGCAGCCCCCAGTTCAACAGTGAGTGCCCACCTGTAGCTGCCATTCCAACAACAGCCCAGGCTGTGCCCCGTGGAGCAGCTCCGGTTCCACAAATGTACACGGCGTTATTTATAAATAAACAGTTTTCCCTCGGGGAAAGGAAGGAAGGAGGGAGGGAAGGAGCCCCCTCTGGGCTCCTCTTCTCCCTACACCAGCGTTTCTTTCCGCTTCCCGCTGAGCTGCTTCTCCCTGGCTCTCGTGAGCCCGGGGGAGGGGGTGTGTGCCGCTGTCCCTGAGTCCCGGGCCGTGCCCTCGCCCAGCTCCAGGGGGGGTGTCCCGGCGCGGTGCGGCGGTGCCGGCACGCCGGGCACGGAGGGGTCGTTCTCCTCGCACTCCTCGCTGAGCTCCGGCAGCTCCTGCAGCTCGGAGGGAGGGGCAGCGCTCTGGAAGGGGGCGATGGCGCTGCGGATGCAGTTCACCCACTGCTGCTTGTGGAACACGTCGTTGGCCTGCAGCGTGTGCGACTGGCCTGCCGCGGCCTCCTGGAACCGCACCCGGAAGATGTTCTTGGCTGCCGAGAACAGGGGAGGAACACGTCAGCTCCGAGCTCGGTGTTCAGACATTGCACCGGTCACACTTCAGGGGAAGCGCCTGAAATCCCACCACAAAACCACCCGAACCCACAGCCGCTGCCCCAGCCTCGCCCCCCGCGGACGAGCCGGCTCGGGGCATACCTTTATCGGAGTTGCCGAAGGCTCCTCGGAAGGACCCTCCCATCTTCACATCCCCGTCCTGCAGGTCCTCCAGCAGCAGCTCCTGCACGGGGATGGGCTGCCGGTACACCTGGAAGGCCTGGCGCTCATTGCGGGTCACCGGCCGGGTCAGCACCAGGACGTCTTGGAAGAGGAACACGTAGAGCTTCTGGAAAGGGAAAAGCACCTTGGAACGGGAGCAAAGCCTGGCACTCTGTGTTCCAGGAGGTCACACATCCTCCCCTCTGGGACCCAGGGCTGCCTTATCTGCAGTTTCACCCTCAACAAGTTTGAGTTCTGGCACAGAGCACAATTAATTACATCAGCGGCTTTATTGTTTGACTGATCCTTGAGCTGGGAATTGTGATTTACACATGCCAAGGAGTGGGTGATTAGGAGCAATTACCTGTTCTGGCAACACAAAATGCCTCATGTGCAGAAATGCAACGGCCAAATTAAATAAAAGAAAAAAACCCAACAAACCTCCAATCAACTAAATGAAAATAAATGAAGAAAACATGTAAAGATTCTATGTTCAAACCAAGGCAGCACAAAAGGCAGCAATGCCTGCAGTCCAGCGGGCTCTTTCAGCGGCAGTGGCAGATAAAACTCCTGGCTCAGCTCAGCTCAGCGCCAAGCAGGCCTTTGCAGGAAGTCCTTTGTTTGGAGCAGAGCTCCTGAAGGGCCCTGTCAGAGCACCTGAACGCAAACAGCGGCAGGAAATCCCTCGGGATGGAGAGCGCTTTCTGGGCTCCTTTTGTGCTAATTATTTGCCAGCTTCCCAGGGCCAGCTGTGGAGCTGCCAGCAGGAAACTTTCCCTTCCACCCCAAAATCCAGGCTGCCATCAAGGGCTTTCTCCTCTGCTTTTTAAACTCAGCCTGAAGTCTAAACTATCCCAACGCTCTAACAGTCTGAACCAGCTGCACAACCTTGAGAATTGTTTCCCAGGAGCAGGAGGGACTTACATGTCCATTTTTGTTCTTCAGCTCCCCGTGGCACAGCAAAGCTTTGCTGCCTTCAATCCTTGGATCCTTCTGCTTCTCATCCAGGTACTCCAGCTTGTCGATGTAATACTGGCACTCGGACTCGCCCTTCTTCAGGTTGATGTCAGAGAGGACCCCTTGGATTATGGATATCTGGGAATCCAAAGAGATGATTAGGAGTGACCTCTGCATGTGCTTCTTCCTTAGAAGTGCTACTTCAGCGCTCCAGGTGATGGAACCCCTGTGGATTGATCCCTCACTTCCTTTCAGAGAGGGTGGCTCACACATCCGTATCCACCACAAACCCACCCCTCGGTGAAATCCAGGGGAGATCCCTGAGGGATTCAGGGAGTTTCCTGGAGCTCCAGAGGAACTCACTCCGGTCCCAACCAGCCTCGAGCCTCACTTACGGCCTCCTGCAGGATGTGGACGTCGGGGTGGTCCTTGGGCGTGTGCCGCAGGATCTCCTTGAGGAGCAGCGGATACTTCACCAGCCGGCTCCGAGGGATGTCCAGGAAGCTCCAGAGGTCCAGCTTGCGGCTGAAGGGAGACTCCAGACAGCGCTGCAGGAAGTCCTGGACCCTCCTGTCCTGCTTCTTCTGGTCCAGCAGGGCCTTGGCTGCCAGCTGGTTGCTGCAGTAGCCTTTGTAGGCATGGAGCCGTGGTAGCTGCAGGGAACAGGATATCCACGAGTCAACTCCAGTGGGAAGAGCAAATCAAATTAGGATGTTGCATGACTTACTGTGCTACTTTTCCCCATGAGAAAGCTAAGGAGTATCCCATAGTAGCCGGGGTGTTGTGAGAGCAGGGACACCCTGCACATAGAGCCTTTGCAGCTCTGGCAGCTGGGAATACCAGTGATAACACCCTGAGTGACCTTGGGGACCAAGAGCCCAGCAGATGCAGACATTCAAACACAAATCATCAACAACTGCAGTCACACCAGTGTCAGTCTCCAGGGTGACAGCAGGGCCCATCGTGGCTGAGGGAGTCCCACTGTTTCCCAAATAACCAGGATTCCCCTTCCAGTTTGTGCTCGAGGCCACAAACCCCCACAGTTCTTTGGCTCCTGGCTTTAAACGCCCCCTAAGCTCAGCTTTAGCCCGTTGTCCCCCAGTTGTGAACTCACCCACTTCACAAGAATGGGCCCAATCTGCTCCACCGTCCCATCTGGTTTTGTTGCTTCTCCTAAACTCGCCAGTAAGTCTGGAAATGAAACACAAACATCAGGAACTGTGACAATGCCCCAGCAAGTACAGAAAGCACAGCGGGAACTCTTAACCAGCAGCTGACCCAGCTGCTCTTACCCTCGTGCAGAGGAATGTAGGAATCCAAGTCTCCAAATATGTGGGTGAGCTCCTCCTCGGACATGATGGAGAGTTTCAGCATGGGATCATGGTAGGCCTGTCAGAGAACGCCACTGTTACAATTAATCCCAAAAGTTGCCCATTTCAATCTGAGGGCAGCAGACAGCAAAGTGAAACCCACAAAAACGGCGACTGGGATGTTGAAAGGGGCTGTGGGAAGACGCTGAGGACTTTCCTGCCTGAACTGGGAGAACATCTGGCAGAGGGATTCCCCAGCCAGCTCTGCAGGACTGCAAGGCTGGCCATCCCATCAGCTTTCTGGGCCAGCTGCCAAGCTGTGGACTGGGGGCCGGATAAAGCTCCCCCACGACGTTTGCAGGTGCAGAGAAACCTCAGGGTTATCTGTGATGGGATTTCTGACTGCAAAAAAAACCCACCCCAAACCCCACTCACCTTTCTGGCAAGTTTGAGGTCTTCGATCAGGTCCTGTTCTCCCCTGGACATCTCGTATATGGCCTGGCAGGAAGGGGAGAAAACATGCAGGGTCAGTTTTAAGGCCAGGCCTTCCCTGCAAGAGCCTTTTCAGCTCCCACAACATCCATCGCGTCCTCCACAGGGGCTTGGCCACTCCGTGACAGCTGGGCATGAAAACCTGGAGTAAATCCACTGCTTTCCCAGCCCCTCCCTGGCTGTGGGGAAGCCCTGCTGTCCCTGCCTGAGCCAAATCAAAGATCAGAGCCTGTTAAATCACTGCTCCAGCACACCAAACACACACACACAGCCCTGAAAAGCACGCAGGGCACGTCCCAGGGGCTGCTGGGTGGTGTCTCCTGAAGACTGGTCCAGAACTGCAGGGAAAAGGCAAGCCAAGGCTTGGCTTTAAAGCAGGAGCTTTAGGACGAAGGCAGTTGCTCAGTTTTCCCAGCTATGGGATTGCTGCAGAGCACCCAGCAGGGATTCCAGAAAGGCTGGGAAGAGTTTGGCATCTCCCAAGATAAATTCCCCCGGGACTGGGGAGAGAGGAATCCACCTTTCCCCACGAAAATCCAGGAGTAACTCTTGGGTTGGGGGTGAGTGGCATGGGAAGATGCAGCTCCCGCAGGTGGCTCTTTTCCCTTGGTAACTCTTGGGTTGGGGTGAGTGGCACGGGAAGATGCAGCTCCCGCAGGTAGCTGTGGTTCTTTTCCCTTGGGAAGGACAAAGGCAAGGAATTGCCTGCCATTCCCATCCCGGCCCACCTCCTGGCGCTTGATTTCTTTGGAGCTCAGGGACTCTTTCATGTTGACATCCAACATCTCCGACCACAGGACGCTGTTCCTCCTCTTGGGGGGCGTGGGAGCGGCAGATCTGCTGCAGGACTTGTGCGCACAGCCCGGGGATTTGCTGTCGCTGCGCAGAGTGAACGACTGCAAAGGCACAAACACAAACAAAACACTGAAAATAAGAGTAAAAAAACACATTTAAAACCCCCATAAAAAAAATTTTACAAAAAATTTTAAAAAGGTGAAGAAATTTAAAAAATAAAATAAAAAATTTAAAAAAAGGCATTAAAATATTACCCCCCAAAAGCACATTAAAAATCATAAAAACTAAAACCTAACCACATTAAAAAAATTGGGAAAAACCCTAAAAATAATTAAATCCCCGTAATTTTAGAAATACTTAACAAAATTTAAAAATTCTAAAAAATTCTAAAAATGTTTTAAAAATAATAAAAATAATTTAAAAATCATAAAAATAACAATTAAAAATTGAAAAAAATTAAAAATTTGAAAAAATTTTAAAAGTAAAAATAATTTAAAAACACATTAAAAAACGTATTAAAATTTAAAAAAATTTAAAACATTAAAAACCATTAAAAATGGTTGAGAAATTAAAAAACACATTAAAAACCATTAAAGTAATTAAAAAATGGATTAGAAACATTAAAAAATTTAAAACATTAAAAACATTTAAAAAATAAAATCAGAAAAACATTTTAAAACTTTAAAAATTTAAAAAAATTTAAAAAATTAAAACTACAAAAAGTAAAAAATTTGAAAACCACATTAAAAACATAAAAAAGTAAAAAACATTAAATTGAAAAATCAAAAAACACATTAAAAACATTACAAAATTTAAAAAACCATTAAAAATGTGAAAAATTAAAAACCTCATAAAAATTTGGAAAAAAAAAAAAAAAAAAAAAAAAAAAAAAAAAAAAAAAAAAAAAAAAAAAAAAAAAAAAAAAAAAAAAAAAAAAAAAAAAAAAAAGAAAAAAAACACCAAAACCCCAAACATGAAAAAACATTAGGGAAAAAAAATTAACCCCAACCCCACTTCCATTAACAACTTGATGCAGAATCAACCCCTCAGAAGTATCATCAGGTATTACTCTTGGAGTACAGTCCCCCAAGCCTTCCCCCCTGGGCTGTTCCCAGGGCAGACGCCCCCAAGCCCTGTTCCTGTTCCTCAGCTCCACAGCCCTGTCCCAGGCACTGTCACACACCCCCAGCCCCTGTTCCTGTTCCTCAGCTCCACAGCCCTGTCCCAGGCACTGTCACACACCCCCAGCCCCTGTTCCTCAGCTCCACAGCCCTGTCCCAGGCACTGTCACACACCCCCAGCCCTGGGGAGGGGCCATTTCCGAGGCACCAGGAAGGAAATAAAGCAGGACACGGACTGCACCTCCGAAGGAGGGTGACTGGAGCCCTTGAACTTTGTCCTGGGGATGGGCAGCGCTCCAGAGCCCGGGCAGAGCAGGGGCAGCTCTGCAGCCCCAGCACACACTTGCTCACTCATTGCCTCTCTTGGAACCAGTTTGGGTTTATTTATTCCTTACACCTTCAATAACTTGGTTATCTTCCCTCTTCTTCAGCCCTGTGGTCCAAGGCCAACAGTCTGGGGACTCTCTCTCTCTGAATCTCTACCTCTGTCTGAATCAGGTTATTGTTATTGATTATATATATAAAATAAATATAGAAATATGTTTATAAAAATATAAATTATAAAAATAGATAAACAAATGTCATTTCTTTATTATTTGAACCCTCAATAATTTGTTTCTCCCCCCTTCGTCATCCCTATGGTCCAAGTGACTTCTATCTCTGTCTGAATCAGGTTATTTTTATTTTTATTTATTATAGATAAAATACGTAAATATCTATTTATAAACATATAATACATAAAAATAAACAAATATTTTTCATTTCTTTATTGCTTAAACCCCCCATAACTTGTTTCTCCCCTCTCTCCTTCACCCCTCTGCTCCAAGTGACTATGCTGTCCTTACATCACCAATTTTCATGAGAAGCTCCCCAAAATCCCCTTTTAGCCTATTCCCAGCCCATCCCTCCTCCAAACCCGGGCATTTCGGACCAGAGGGCCAGTTGTTGATACCTGGATGGTCTGCCCGAAGCGCCGAACCGCCCCATTTCTGACAGGAGAGATCAAGTTGGCCAGGGAGGTGACCCGAGCCAGGGGCCGCACCCGTTTGTTGCTGGGCTCCTGGAAATAAAGCACAGAACAAACCGCCTGAGGCTTCTCCAGCTGCCCACGCAGGTTTCAACCAAGCCCAGCCCACTCACGGAGCGGGAAAGGCAGCGAGGAGAGCGTTTGGGAGCGGCCAAAGGAAAGCAGAGGCTGTAAATATGGGCCTGAATTAGCCCCGTGCGGAGGTTTTTTTGCCCGGCGTGAACGAGGGGAGGGAACGTCAGTGGGAATTGAAACGGGAGTCCAGCAGGGACTGGTGTGCTTTGCACAGAAATAGAGGCCAGTGGCTGTCACCTAAAGATGGAGCTGGGATGTGCTGCTCTGCTTTATCAGCTTCTCCTCTGCAGGAAGAAGGGGTTTGCCCGATTTATTTTGGAGAGGAAAGCAGCGGCGGGAGCGCAGCTCGGGCTCTCCCAACGAGCTGCAAACCACCCCAGGCTGAACGATCCTCACGCACCCCGTGCAGAAAGCTGCAAAAGCTTCACTTCCCAACGTCTCCTCCTCCTCCGGGATTCTCCCCTCGCCCCCCACAAGTCACTGCAATTTTTCTTACACGTTGTTTGGATTGGAAAGATGAAGCTTCTGCTTTTCTACCCCACTAATCCCCACCGGGAGCCCAAGCGTAGCCTGACCCGAGCGCTGCCAAGGAGGACGGAACGCCCCGTGGAAACCTCCCACTTCAGCCCAGCTCAGGTTTTCAGCTCTGCTGCCAAGTCTGCCTGTTGTACACCCACAATGTGGTGTGCTGGGGGCTGTGCAGGAAAGGTGTGCACAGGGGGAAGGGATGGACCGGGATTTAAAGCTTGGAGCGGTGTCCTGGTGCTCCCAAACATCCGTGTGTTGGACGTGACTCGGCACAAGGACATTTCTTAAGGTGAAGAGCAGAGATGGAAGCAGCCACTTTTGGGGGTCACCTCAGTTAAAACTGGTTAATTGCTGTTGAATTTCTCATCTTCTGTTTCAAAAGGCAAAAGTCTGAGGAGGCTGCTTAGGCCCTGTCTCAATTTCCAGCCCAATTCGGTGCCCAAATCTTTGCTCTGGGCAGCGACAGCAACAACAAATTGTGAAAATGAAAAGCCAAAAAAAAAAAAAAAAAAAAAAAAAAAAAAAAAAAAAAAAAAAAA